CTCGCCTCGGTTCATGCTCATGTACGGCCCCGGAGGCAACCCCTCCCAGGCCGCATTCAAAACAACGGCACGCAGGGCTCCCCGGAGCTCCCGCTCAGCCTTTTTTCGAGCAAAGCCTCCCATGGGTCACACGAGAGAGCGTGACGGCGGCGAAGGATCTGAGTGGATCGGTTGCTACGACAACCATTCTACAACCGGCGCATGCGAGAGCTCTCTCAGAGCGCAGCTCCGTCTGGGCACACACCTGTCTTATGGACAAGTGGATGAAAAGCTTGATAAAAACAGGTTACAGGCTGCAGTTTGCAACCAGGCCTCCCCGGTTCAGCGGGATCCTGGAGACCCGTTTGTCGTCTCCTCAGCAGGATCTYGCTCTTCGAGCAGAGCTTCACGAACTCTTAAACAAGGAAGTAATTTCCAGAGTTCCAAGCGGGAGGGAAAACGAGGGTTTTTATTCCCGGTATTTCCTTGTYCCCAAAAAAACAGGTGCGATGAGACCGATCCTGGATCTCTCTTTTTTCAACAAATTCATAATGAAAAGACCCTTTCACATGTTGACCACCAAACAGMTGCTCACATGTGTTCAGAAAGGCGATTGGTTCACTTCAATCGACCTGAAAGACGCTTATTTTCATGTCCCGGTCATCTCGGCGCACAGAAAATACCTGCGTTTCTCTTTTCAGCAGACAGTACCAGTACAACCGTCTGCCTTTTCGGTTACGCACTGGCACCACGCACCTTCTCAAAATGCGTAGAGACAGCACTGCAGCCCCTGCGCTCAGCGGGAATGAGAATCCTGTTTATCTGGACGACTTGCTCCTGCTGGCTCCATCCAGACAGGAAGCAGCATCACAGACAGAGAAACTGTCAGCACACCACAGGATGCTGGGTTTTTCCATAAACTGGAAAAAAGAGTTCTCTCATTCCGGCCCAATCCATCACGTATCTGGGTGTGGATCTGGACTCAGTCACCATGACAGCTCATCTGTCTCTAACCAGAAAAGAGACTCTGCTGTCACTGTTAGCGCATGCCAGACTCCGCAGGTCGGTGACAGCTCTAACTATCATGCGTCTCCTGGGCATGATGTCAGCAGCCCACGCGGTAGTTCCGCTCGGGCTGCTGCACACGAGACGTTTACAGCGGTGGTCCCCCCGGCTAAGGATCGTATCGATCCCCTCCTCAGTGG